TTCACATGTTCCGTCTCGTTCAGATGTTCCGTCTCGTTCACATGTTCTGACTTGTTCACACATTCCAACTCGTTCAGATGTTCCGTCTCGTTCAGATGTTCCGACTCGTTCACATGTTCCGACTCGTTCACACATTCCGACTCGTTCACATGTTCCGACTCGTTCAGATGTTCCGTCTCGTTCACATGTTCCGTCTCGTTCAGATGTTCCGTCTCGTTCACATGTTCTGACTCGTTCAGATGTTCCGTCTCGTTCAGATGTTCCGTCTCGTTCAGATGTTCCGACTCGTTCACATGTTCCAACTCGTTCACATGTTCCAACTCGTTCACATGTTCCGACTCGTTCACATGTTCCGACTCGTTCACACGTGCCGACTCGTTCAGATGTTCTGACCTGTTCACACGTGCCGACTCGTTCAGATGTTCTGACCTGTTCACACGTGCCGACTCGTTCACATGTTCCGACTCGTTCACACGTTCCGACTCGTTCACGTTCCAACTCGTTCACAATTTCCGACTCGTTCACACGTTCCGTCTCGTTCAGATGTTCCGACTCGTTCAGATGTTCTGACCTGTTCAGATGTTCCTACTCTTTCAGATGTTCCGACTCGTTCACATGTTCGGACAGTACCAGCACCAGTGACTGGACCGGTTCCGAGCGTCAGAATAGTCTGGTTTGGACAGTTATTGAGTCAGATTTCTGCAGACCCGAGTCCTCTCCAGGGTTTCATGGACTCTTGTGTCTCTAATGTGAGCCAAGTATGTTTGGACTGAACACGGAGTTCTGTCAGTCAGAACCAGAACATGGCAGGTCCAGTTGTTCTCCACAGCAGAGAACAGACTGCAGGTTTAAATCAGAACTCCTCAGATGCTGTGAGGTGTCATCACCAGCGTCTCCTCGCCTCTCATGGTCTGTAGTTTGAGTCCTTCTGGCAGCTGACACCTGATTGGCTGAATATTTTTATCCTCAGCCTGAGGCGGAGCTCTCTGTCTGCATCTCTGCTCCCATTGGTCCCTGCTGATCACATGACCCAGGAGCGCTTCATCAAAGCATCGCATGACAATACCACCATGACGTGTGTGAGACTGCAGGAGACACACACACACACACACACACACACACACACACACACACACACACACACACACACACACACACACACACACACACACACACACACACACACACACACACACACACACACACACACACACACACGAGTCAGGAAGTCGTGACAGAGCTTCTCCTCAAGCTGCAGCTTTTCGTTGCTTTTCGTTGCAGCTTTTTGGACTCCTGGCAGGGTCCAATGCAGACATGTTCCTGTTTTTAGTTTTATACATTTGTCTTGGAATCTAGCTGTTTTTTTGGTTTTGTTACCTTTTTCCTTTTAGCCATCCTATTTGTTAAAAAAAAAAAACAAAAAAAAACTGTAGTATGAGTTTTTATAATTGCTTATTGTTGTTGCTGTTGTCCATTGTTGTCATCTTTCTTTGTTGAAATCAGGTCTCTCTTGTAAATGAGTCCTCGAGGCTCAATGGGATTTACCTGTATAAATAAAGGTTGATTGATTTTCTGAACACTGAATCCTTGTCTGATTATTATTGTTATAATTATTATTACAAAAATAAAATCAGAAGCAAAGCATTTCCTGTTCTGACTCGTCCACCAGGCTCTTGTTTCAGTTTTTTTTTTCATTCAACCTTTATTTCTACAGGTAAATCCCATTGAGCCTCGAGGACTCATTTACAAGAGAGACCTGATTTCAACAAAGAATGATGACGACAATGGACAACAAGACAACAATAAACAGTTATAAAAAGTCATACTGCACTTGTTTTTCTTAACAAGTAGGATGGCTAAAAAGTTAAACTGGTTTTCTTTTTCAGAAACAGATCCTGTCTAACCCTGAATGTTAGGAAACACCTTGTATCTGTGACTTTCCTTCCCTCCATTGATCACGGTGACATTATTTACATGAACGCTCCTACAAGAACCCTGCAGATGTTGGATGCTGCAGATGTTGGATGCTGCAGATGTTGGAT